AATTAAATAATTAGGAAAATAGAATATGGCATGCTAGAATTGATGGAGCATGATAGAACAATAATATTTCCTTTCTTTCCTTTGATATTCTCTTGGTATTTGCTTGAGATGGTATATAGCTGGGCGCATTTTTATTTTCGAATGTTATTAAGTTTGTTCTCAATGTGCTCCTGTTTGGGAGAGTTAATTGAAGTTTACATGGGTGGGAGAGTTAATTGAAGTGTTTGGGAGAGTTAATTGAAGTTTACATGGGTGGGAGAGTTAATTGAAGTTTTATAAATATAATTATTAGAGATCTGAATGATCATATACACTCAAACTGTTAAAAGTAATATCAGAATAGAGAGATAAGGGAGAAAGGGAGAATCATCTCATCATTCATTCTTTCCATTGTAAGAATATATATACATACAAGGTAATGTAACGGAAGCAATATAATAATGGAAATAATTACATAACTGTTACAACCGTTACAATACTATATAATATTGTCCATTATAAGTATAATATTTATAACCACTCCTCCTTGGACATTATTTGACCATGATCTTGTCTCGTCAAAAACTTGCTAGGAAAACCTTGTGGGAAAAACCTAGACAAGGAAAGAGTACAATAGAAAATATATCCATGCCTCATTAAAAACTTCACTAGGAAAACCACGTGGGAAAAACTTAGTTGAAGAAAAGAGTACATGATATATGTAAAAACATATATTGTATTGGTCACCTCATTAAAAACCTTAACTTAAGAAAACCTTGTGGGAAAAATTTAGTTAAGGGAAAAAGAGTACAACCATAAGCCTTCAGGGCGCAAACTACTGCATAATCTTCAGGATGTTGGGGTTTGTCCATTTAAGCATTTATTTTGCAACTTTTCCCCATTGTCATTACTATATCATACTCATGCCTCGTTAAAAACCACACTAGAAACCACACATGATATTTATGTATTTATGTGTTGCAGAAACCCTCCGGTTATGACAAGCAAAAAGCTTTGGAGTTGGGTGTTCCTTTAGAAATGGTGAAATCTAAACGGAAGTCAAGGACACCGAAAGGATCAGAAGATGACCAACCAAAGCTGAAAAGACAGAAGAAAGAAAAGCGCTCCTCTTGGATTAAGTCAAAAGAGGAAGCCATCAGTGCACCAACACCCACTCCCATCCCACCAAAGTCTCCCGCAGAGAAGAATATTCTTACCTCAACTATTCCTCCTCCAGACACAATTGTTTGTCGAAGATTCCTCTGATGAAGACAATTTGATCTTGTCAAACCTTGGCAAATCAGGACACTTTCGTTCTCCTGTCAAACCGAAGACTGATGCATCTTCCTCCTCGAAAGAATACAAAACACCGAGAGAAGCACTCTCTCAGGGGGGGAAGAAGACACGAGAGAAGCATTCTCTCAGGGGGAAGATCAGCCGAAAGAAACCGCTCCAGAAAAACCTTCTGATCAACAAGAGCCAAACCTTGGCCTCTCTTCTCCTCAAGTCCTTCATACACAAGAACCCATTTCAGCAGAGCGAAACATTCAAGACTCGACACAAGAACCTGCTGCTATGGACATGGAGGCCGGTCACTTAAGTCTTCCACAAGAACCTGGCTTGCCAGCAAAGACGAAAGAAGTGGCTGCTGATTTGAGTGAAATTCCATCTCTTCTACAAGAACCTGCATTGGCAGATGACTCAGCCATTGTACCAGTCGGAACTCATGACATTCCGAAGACATCGACACCTGTTCCCGAAGTCACAACAAAACCACCAGTTGTTGCGCCCATTCGTCCATCTCCAGATCAACTGCTTCGTGAGTCCATTGAAAATGACTACAACAGAGTTTTGCAGTGGCAAAAATGGCGCACAGCCCTTTGAACATATTCATCGAAACTTTTGAAGCCATGAAAGATGAAGAAGAGTTTGCTCTTGAATGGCTTGAAACCAAGGATCTGAATGAAGCACTACGACTTGAAAAAATAAGACGTGTGTTCTCCTACAAAATGACCAATCGTTTTCTTGGAAAGGACAAAGCTCCGATTTGCATAGAGCTCAGCAAACCTCCTTTGGACCCAGCATTTGAAGAAGAAATGAAGATTGTTCGGTATGCCATGTTGATATATATCCAAAGTCAAAACCATCCTGGAGAAAGAACATCAAAATGATCCTAACTGCAGTGTCAGTGGCTTGAAAGATGAGCAAGGCCAAGAGATTGACACAACCGAAGATGAAGAAGACGAAGATCGAGATGATGATGTCGAGGATGCAGATGACGAGAACGATGACAATGATGGTGACAATGATGATGACAATAATGATGATGACAATGATGGTAACAATGGCGCAAATCTAATGTATGACAGTCCATCTCCTCTCTTGATAGGTCCTGATTATGACACTGTTCTCAAAAGATCTCCAGCTCAGAAATCACCTTCCAACAGTGATGGCACAATGGAAGCATCACAACAAGATGAAGACGTCTCAACCAATCAGCCTGAGGATCTGTCTCGAGCTCTCGTTCCGCATGTTCAACCTATGGACGAAACTCCAATAAAACGAGAGGAAGCAGTTGTAACTGAGGGCAAACTGGAAGCCTCCCCAATCCTCCTAAGTTCGGGAAGTGGTGGCAAAAGGGATGCACCACTTCAAGGAAACCAAGTTGAAACCCCACAAATCGAGATTGAAGAAGATTCTCCCCCAGTAACCCCCCGAGGAGTTATGAATCTCATGAGAGAAACCGTTCATGCAGTCGAAACCATACATCAACAGTACTTGATTCTAAGGCAAAGAGACACCAAGGTCTTGGAAGACTTGTCCAAGAAAGTGGATCAGTTGATGGCTGCACAAGCTCAACCTCGATCACCACCACCAGAGCCATCTCAACCTCCACCGCAAACTGATCGACAATTCCACGAGCGCGTGGCTAAGGAGCTCCATGAACTTCACACTGCTGTCAACAAAGTGGCTCGTCAACAGCACGAACTCAAACATTCCCACTTCAGTCTTAAAGAACGTGTTGACTTAGCCTGCTCAAAGATAGATACTTCACAAGACAACACATACCAACTGGGACAATATGCTCTTCAAACTCTCGGGTATGCCCAAGATATTCTGAATGCAGTTAATCAACTCCCCATCGTTCCTCCTACCACCTGTGCCGATGATGCCAAAAAGGGGGAAAAGCAACATCATGATGATGATAAGGATGACGATCATTCGAGGGAGAACACGAGAGAACGATCTCCATCTCATGCACCAGGAAAAGATGAGCAAAGAAGCACAAACCCTCCATCCAGATCTCGTGGCCACCATCCTTCTCAGTTGAGACATTATTCAAATCGTGGCCCTTCTCAACCCAGATCACAGTCTCTCAAGCCTCGTCAATCTTATGGCTCTGAATCAAAATTTGTATTTGCTGGGCTCTCCAAGAGAGAAAAGGCAAGTCGAAGGCAGAAGTTCATGAAGGATAAAAAGATAACAATGGATGGAGTAGGAAACTTTGTGGAGTACAAACCTTTTGAAGAAGGTAGTGGGAAATGTTTTGAGGGTTGCAATGTTCCTACCTGGCTGAAGACAAAGGACAACTACACCAGACAACATCACATAAGCACCCAAAACGAAAGAATAAAAAGGCAAAATAGAGAACTATGGGAGAAACACGAGGAAGAAGCCCGAATAAGAGAGCATGAACTGAAGGAAAGAGAGAGAGTAAAGAAGCTTATTAAAGATCTCACGAACGTAACCAACATTCTGAAGATGGTGTCATCTACAATGCAGCTTTCAAAGTGCATACAGAGTTTGGAAAAAAGCTACAAAGAAGGAATGAATTCCTTTGAACTTATCTCATGGTGGAAAGCTGGAGTAATTGCAGGAGCAGACATTTGGGAGGCTTACAACAATTACATAAGTCTCAACATTCGAGGAAAATACGAGGATCTAGTCAAGACAAATCCAATCAAGATCTTCAGAGAACGAATCAACAAGGATATCGACACCAACAGAATGCTCAAGCAACAAGAGGAAAGGGACATTCGTGAACGTGAAAAGGCAAAGCTACAGAAGTCAAATTCTCTAGTTGTGTAAGTTGCTTTTCTTTATGTTTATCTTAAAAAGTTTTTGTAATCTTCATTATCCATATATAAAGTGCTCGTTGTTACACATCTCGTGTCACTTGTCTGAGTTACTTGTCCTTGCCTCTCTTATTAATGGCTTTTATATAGAAAAGACTTGTAAACTCTCGTGTAAGGCTGACTTGTAATAGAAAATCCGTTATGGAACATTTTATCAGCCTTATAAGAAGAGTATAGGTTTTGGCATCATCAAAAAGGGGGAAATTGTTAGGAACACTTGTATTAGGATTTTGATGATACCAATGTAACCTAGAAAGTAGACCCCTAACCGTTATTACTTTTTGATCGCTGCTTTCCTCCAAGACGAAAGTTGCCATAACTCACTTGTAATTCGTGTTAAGCTAGCCAAACACACCAAGACGAGTTATGATTAGTTGTTAGGGTAATCAAGACGAATGAAGACACAAAGCATGAAACATGTTCAACGAAAGTTTAAGAGGAGTTGTCATTTAACACGAAAGGACAGTCTTGTTAACGACAATCCTTCAAGATATCTCTTCTCATCAACAGCAAGAAAAATGTCTCCTCTGTCTGACTTGACAACATCCTAGGATAAAAAGGACCTCAACTTGTGGGACACGCATATCAAGGAACATTAAATGAAGATGTACTATTTCCTGGAGCTAAAGGACAAAACCCTAAGGTTCTCTATGCCATCAACGGCTACAAGGTACAATCTCATTAATGGAGCATTTAATGCAAGAAGCTCCCAGGTCCTTTCCCACTGGTCAATAGGTTTGAAAATTTCATCTCCCTCCAACGGATGGAATTTTCCTCACCTATAAAAACCCACCTTCATCAACTTAGAAGGTGCTGGTTCTTATCACTCGATCTATCTATACGCAAACGCTCTTAAACGCTCTCAGCTCTCTCAAGCTTTTGTGAACCAGTGTTAAGGTGCAAAGATACTTGAAGAAGCTCATTGATCCTTATCTTACACCTTAAAGAAGTCTTGCTATTTGTATGAAGCAATCATTCCTCTCGATCAAGACTTCATTACGTTGGAGAAATCAGAAATCTTTTTCTACCAACCTCAACTCTGAAGAAGAAGTTGATAGAGGCGGAGTAAACTCGAGGAGTTGAAAAACCTACGAAGGCTGTCCGGCTTAGTGATCAAGGAAGTCTTTGTGTAATTGTACTAACGAGTGATAGTGCAATCCTTCCATAAGTTGTGGAAGAAGAGTGGAGTAGGCAAAGTTGGCCGAACCACTATAAAAATCTCGTCTCTCTATCTCTTTACTTTTGCTTTCCATTTCTTCATCATTTTATCTTTCGCATCTCTACCAAAACTTTCCTTATAACCAAAAACCGTGCAAAGAAAATAAACGAAGTTAACTTTACCGCTGCGCCAAAAACACCGAAAGGTCATTTTTAGGGCAAAACACGGAAAGAGTCTATTCACCCCCCCCCCCCCCCTCTAGACTCTCACTACAACTCTATCGGGACCAACAAAGTCTGCGGGAGTGGCGGATGTCTCTTCGTTTTTCTCTTCGATTTTATCAAAACCGTTTTCGTCTAAATTAAATGGCCAGACGAGCTGTTTCAAGTTTAATAACACAAGAGCATTTTTTTTCTCTTCGGCCTAGGGTTTTTATTGAGCCCTCTAATATTTGCATATCATTTATATGGGCTATCTTTCATGGGCTATTTTTTTTACTCTCATTCAAGCCCTCATTTGTTTCGACCATTTTTTGGGTATGCTATATTATATGTTCCTATGGACCTTATTTTATTTAAGTAGGTCCACGATCTATTTCTATGGTCATCATTCAAATATTTTCTGTAGAAATGGCTACTCTCGCAAAAAGAGAATTTGCTGAACTCGCCCTCGATGGAAGCAATTTCCTCACTTGGGCGCTTGATGTTGAGATATATATCTCCAATCTACAGAATTGCTGGACACCATTGAAGAGACATCTACGAGCACTGTAGCCCAGAAGGCAAAAGCGCTCATTTTCCTCCGCCACCATCTTAATCATGACCTCAAGAATGAATACTTAACAGAGAAAAAGACCCCTATGTGCTCTGGAAATCTCTTAAGGAACGCTTTGACCAACAGACTTCATTGGTCCACCCCCAAGCCCAACATGATTGGCTTAACCTCCGATTTCAAGACTTTAAGTCTGTGACTGAATACAACTCCACCCTACACAAAATTGTGTCACAATTGAAGCTCTGTAAGCAAACAATTACGGACAAGGATAAGATTGGAAAAACTCTATCCACGTTCCATCCAAATGACCTTGTGCTCCAGAAGCAGTACAGGAATACAAAATATGCTACACATCCAGAACTCATTACGGCTTTACTGGTGGCTGAAAAGCATAGCCAGTTATTGATGCATAATCATAATGCGCGTCCAACTGGCGCTGCACCTGTGCCTGAAGCACACACTGTTGCCCAGCAGAGCGACAATCAGCGGGGTCGAGGTCGAGGAAGGGGGAAAGGTCGTGGCATGGGACCAAAGCGAGGTGGTAGAGGGGGAGCTAGCAGTAGTGACTCCCGTCCTCAGAACAAGCAAACTCAAAGAAATAAACCAAGCAAGTCACAACAGAACTCCGGTCAGTCGCAACCATGTTATAAATGTGGTTGCAAAGGACATTGGTCTAGGACATGCAGGACTCCTAAGCATCTGGTCGAGGCTTACCAAAAGATGCTCCAGCAGGAAGAAGGACAAAAGAAGAAACGTTCTGGGCAATCATCTTTGCCTGAAACAAATGCCCTCATCTTAGGGAATGATGACCTGCTAGGCGATGAACTAGCTGATTATGGAGATCAGGAGTGATACTCCTATTCTTTTCTCTCTTTCCCTTATGGACATCATTTTTACTTCATGCCTGCGTGCATGTTTATATTTGAACTCTTTTGTCCTATATGAATAATGGATCCTTTTTTTTGAACACTTTTGTTCTATTTGAATAAATTCAATGGATCATTCTTACACATTATCTTGATACCCATTCTTTTTCTTTAGAGATATGAGAGATGAATCAACCCTGTGCTTGGTTGATTGTGCGACTACGCACACTATTCTGACAGACCGAAGATTTTTCCAAAAGTTCAAAGAACACAAAGGCAACCTTTCAACCATAACGAATGACGATATTCCTATTGTGGGCTCCGACAGAGCTTCACTTATTCTTCCTAACGGAACAAAGTTGATAATTGATTCAGCCCTCCTATATCCTCAATCAAAAAGAACTTTGCTCAGTTTCAGGGATATTCGGTCCAATGGTTTCCACATAGAAACTAAAACTAAAAACAATACCGAATTCCTTGTTTTGACCAAAACGGTCAATAACCAGAAAAAGGAAATTGAAGAACTCCCATCCTTTTCTTCAGGCCTGTATTATTCCCATATCAGGCCCCAGCACTCCTGCGTTGCACTCGCAGTGAAATTTAAAGATACACATTCTTTCAGTCTACGGCATGACCGCTTAGGTCACCCTGGGCAAACTATGATAGGCCAGATTCTTTCAAATTCAATTGGAGATAAACTTCTTAGGACAAACATTCTTTCTACAAAAGATTACACATGTGTTCCATGTGCACAGGGAAAACTTATTGTTTGTCCCTCGCGTCCTAAGATTGATTTTGAGTCACCTATCTTCCTGCAGAGGCTACAGGGTGATATTTGTGGACCAATTAATCCTTCATCCGGACCATTTCGATATTTTATGGTCCTTATTGATGCTTCCACCCGATGGACACATGTGTGCTTGTTGTCCACTCGAAATATGGCATTCGCAAAATTCATGAGCCAAATCATTAGGTTAAAAGCCCAATTCCCCGATTATCTTATTAAGAACATAAGAATGGATAATGCTGGTGAATTCACTTCGTCAGTTTTTGACGATTATTGTATGGCCATGGGAATTAAGGTGGAACATCCTGTACCATACGTCCACACCCAGAATGGTTTAGCTGAATCTCTTATCAAAAGAATTAAACTAATAGCTAGACCATTACTGCAACGGTCCAGTCCACCAGTAAATAGTTGGGGACACACAGTGTTGCATGCTGCAAATCTAATTCAACTCCGGCCAACTACTTATCACGATTATTCCCCTCTACAACTTGTACATGGTAATGAGCCAGACATTTCTCATTTGCGTGTCTTTGGCTGTGCGGTTTACGTACCCATACCACCCCCGCATCGTTCTTCTATGGGCCCGCAGCATCGGTTAGGTATTTATGTTGGGTATGAATCCCCTTCTATCATTAAATACCTCGAGCCTATGACAGTAGATCAGTTTACTGCCCGGTTTGCTGACTGCATTTTTTATGAAGATCATTTCCCGGCATTAGGGGGAGAGAAAAACCCATCTTTGAAAAAATGCCACGAAATTTCATGGGATGAAAAAGATCTTCAGTATCTTGACCCACGTACTAATAAAACTGAACTTGAAGTTCATAAAATAATAAATTTGCATAAACTAGCAAATAATCTGCCGGATGCGTTTACTGATTATAAAAGAGTAACTAAGTCCTATATTCTTGCAGAAAATGCTCCATCAAGAATAATTGTCCCCAAAGGACCAAATACTAACACCGACACTATCCGACGCCAGAAGCGTGGAAGACCAGTTGGTGCAAAAGATGTAAATCCGCGGAAAATTAAAAACAATAAACAATCACAGTTACTCCAAAATCGTCCTGAAGACGAAATACCTAGTGTAAATGCATGTGCTACAAATAAATCTAACACTGGGAATACGGAACACCTTCACCAAGATATGATAGCAAATGAGAAAGTCTTGGTTGAAGTAAATATAGAATCTGCCATAATCTTTTTCGAAACAGGAAAAAATCTTAATAGAAATATAACAGTCGTCGACGACCAATTCGCCTCTACAATTGCTCTTCACATTTCTTTCAATAATCTGGATCCAGAACCAAAAACTATAGTGGAGTGCCGGAAGCGCTCCGATTGGTTGAAATGGAAAGAAGCAATTGAGGCTGAGCTCAACTCGCTAAATAAAAGAAAAGTGTTTAGCCCTCTTGTACTTACCCCTAAAGGCGTGATCCCAGTAGGATCCAAATGGGTATTTGTACGAAAGAGGAATGAACAAAATGAGGTGGTCAGATACAAAGCGAGACTGGTAGCTCAAGGGTTCTCACAGAGACCCGGAATAGATTTTGAACAAACTTACTCTCCTGTCTTAGATGGCACATCGTTCCGTTATCTAATATCACTAGACGCTGACATATATATGAAAGTACTTGAGGGCATCCAAAATCCTTTATGTAAAGGAAATACAAATAAAAATATGTTCAGCGTAAAACTACAAAAGTCATTGTATGGCTTAAAACAATTAGGAAGAATGTGGTATTGTCGATTGAGTGAATTCCTCTTAAAACAAGGATATGAAAATAAAGATATTAGTCTTTGCATCTTTACAAAGAAATCAACTGATGGTTTCTGTATTATATCCATCTATGTAGATGATATAAACATAATAGGGACAAGCAAGGATGTCAAGAGGGCATGCTTGTGCTTAAAGGAGGAATTCGAAATGAAAGACTTGGGATAAACCAAGTTCTGTCTCGGCCTGCAGATCGAGCACCTCCCTGAAGGGATATTCATACACCAATCCAAATACACAGACAAGTTATTGGAGAAATTCTACATGGATAAGTCCCATCCACTTAGTACTCCAATGGTAGTCCGATCACTTGAAGTTGATAAGGACCCGTACAGACCTAAAGAAGATAATGAGGATATTCTGGGACCAGAAGTTCCTTACTTAAGTGCCATTGGAGCACTTCTATATCTTGCCAACTGCACTAGACCTGATATTGCATTTTCAGTAAACATGCTAGCCTGTTTTAGTGCTGCTCCAACCAGAAGGCATTGGAATGGCATAAAACATATCCTCAGATATTTACAAGGCACAAAGGACCTTGGGCTTCTATTTAAAAGAGACCAAGAGACCACATTAGTGGGATATGCGGATGCTGGTTTTATGTCTAATCCGCATAATGCTAGATCTCAGACTGGATATGTGTTTCTTTCAGGAGGTACTGCTATCTCATGGAAATCAGTTAAACAACCATTAGTTGCTACCTCGTCAAACCACTCTGAGATTATTGCTTTATACGAGATCTACAAAGAATGTGTATGGTTGAGGTCATTAATACACAATATTCAAGACTCGTGTGGAATAATGAATAATGGAAAGATCCCCACTGTCCTGTATGAGGACAATGCATCATGTGTTGCACAAATGAGTAATGGATATGTTAAAGGTAATCTCACCAAACATATTGCACCAAAATTCTTTTATCCACATGAACTCCAGAAGAGTGGTGAAATACGAGTCTAAAAGATCCAATCAAGTGAAAATCTAGCAGATTTATTCACTAAGTCCTTACCTACATCTACTTTTGAAAAGTATGTATATAAAATTGGTATGCGTAGATTAGGAAGGCTGTTGTCTTCAGGGGGAGCAACAACATCTTCAATGTAACGAAATTGTTAGTCCAGAAGATTAACTCATTCACTTTGATCCAGAAGATCAAGATATTTTATTATGATTTATACCTAAACCCAGAAGATTTACGGTTGTACTCTTTTTCCCTTAATGAGTTTTTTTCCCACAGGGTTTTCTCAGTGTAAGGTTTTTTTAATGAGCGAGGCAACCGAAGCAACACATGCATTACCCATATGTCATGTAGTCTTTTCTCACATAGATTTTTCCCACGGGGCAAAATAATTTTGTCTAAGAAATATTTTAACAATGTTAGATGGACTCATGGAGGACCTTTAAAAAAAACGTTTTATTTGAGTTTAATTACATAAATAACTCATGATGAAGTAATATAAATCCCCTACTATACATATTAGGACTCAACGATTATACTTTGTATATACTTCTACTTATATTATGATCATTATTGTGAATATATATATATATATATATATATATATATATATATTGCGTATACAAAGGGTTTCCACCGTTAGACACAATGACTAATTCCTCGCTGAATTGTAGAGTATGATTGCATCAGACTTGTATTACAATCATTATTATATTGTGAATATATATCAAGAACTGTTTGTCTCTTATTCATCATACATATCGCATATCATCACACATCACATTTGATGGGGCATTGTGATAGAGGGTTCAATGAGTTATTGAGAATATGCCAAGGGGTCAAGATTTGGAAGTTTGGGTGAATGTCTGATAGAGTCAAAAAGTAGCTAGGTAGAATGTGATATTAGGGTGTCTTTTTTGTTTGTATAACATATTCAGTTTTATTTTATTATATTTATATTACATAAAATGTTTCACTCTACTCTAGCTTGGACATATATAAAATATGGGTAGTTTCCGTAACTGTATGTTTCACTGTACTCTAGCTTGGACATATATAAAATATGGGTAGTTTCTGTAACAGTCGCGGAAACTACCGGGCGTTTTTTTTCTCAGACCGTGACCGTTTTAGTTAGCAACGGTTGCAGATTCTTTTTGTCATTGCAAGTTTTTTTTTTTTTTTTTTTTTTTTTTTTTTTTTTTTTTAGAGTATACCACCCTTTTTGAACGGTCGCTAAAAGTCAGTCTTTTTTGTTCATTTTTATACTAGTGGATCATTTTCTTTGTATAAAAAATTGTTATTTATAATATTTTTTTATACTAGTGGATCATTTTCTTTGTATAAAAAATTGTTATTTATAATATTTTTTAAGTAATATATTTTTTAAGTAATTAGGTTCGACTCATTTTTAGTCATCAGTACATAGTAAGTATGTGAATAAGACAAAATGTTCTTCTACAAAGTAATACTTCAATAACTCACATAGTGACTAGGATGGTTTCCAAACAAAGTGGGTACCCTTGCCTTAGCTTATGGTGATAATTAATTTCCATAATTCATTTTGCATTCATCTGAGTTACAAGAACATGAAATAATTTTTTTTAAACAAAAATTATGTGCTCAATGATTCATGGTAGTGGTAAGATTCACAACTTTTCATTTGGCAAGGAAATTAAATAATACAACAAAACAATAATAAAAAATTAAGATAAATTAAATCCATTTTGATAAAAGTAATACAAGATATATGGGCAGATTATCAAAATAAACTAAATATTCAAATTCATTCAGACAATAATATACTTTAATTTCCCTTTGGCATTGGCTGTAAGTTTATCTTCTAATTCATTCTGAAAAATATGCTTTTCTTAACTCCGGTCCCATCCATCTTCTAATTCATTCGGAAAAATATACTCCCTCTTGGATAACATGCACAATAACCCTTCTCAAAAAATTTTCAAAAGGTGATGAATAGCCCGGAAGACCACATATCTCAAACTTTCTCCATACTTGTGTTCCACATGCATAAATTAAAATTAAAGGAGGCATATCCCCAGCTCCAATCAATAACACAATTTCTCCAATACTATTGGTTGTAAGGCTCACCGATCTAGCTTCACTAAGGATTTTAGCCTTTTCCAATGAAAGAGGAACCTCATGTTTGTCCCACCCCGGTTCCAATGATTTCTCCAAAGTACAAACAAATATTCGGGTCCTTTCTTTTACATCAATATAAATATAAGCTAGTTGACCATTTAAGTTCACCCATGATGAATGATATGTCTTTGGCAAAACACCTAAGTGTTGGAAAATATAGGGAAAAGGTATCATCCTAATTAAATTCTCCGTCTCAATATCAAATACAGCTATTTCTTGTTCATCCCTGCAATTTATCTTAAAATTTATCAAATAGATAATACCGTCAATTTGAACACTAGCAATGGGCTTGCAAGGGAGGAAGGAGCTATCTGTAGTCACCACCCTCCATGATTCATCAACCCCAAGAGTTAAAACCTTCAACACACCCTGGTTATAGAGGTAAGTATTATTACGGTATAATTCTGACTTCAAAACCTTGTACCTTTTCGACAGCGGATCAAAACCCAGGGCTGCACCAGAATACATTTTTGTCCACAGGTCCCCACACCCTGGCTCTGGCTCGATAAATGTGAAGGGAAGAGAAATATATTATCTTCTACTAAGGTCCAAGATAGTGGTCTCTCCACATATTCTGAACAGACAAAGCTTCCCATCTGCAAAGCTTGAACCAACCAGTCGTTTAAAAGGCTGCAATTCATCTGCTGAGCATTGGAGACTGCTGGGTCGGAGCCTTCCATGGCTCTCTTCAGTAGTGTAGCCCACAGTGTATAGATTTGTGGATTTGAACCAGAAGAGGATTCTAAACGCGAAATGCGGCTGAGGGATGAAAGAATGGAAGAATTTAGAAGTGCACCTGAAAGAGACTGCAGATTTGGGAGGAAGACAGATGAGAATTTTGAGAATTATCTCTTTGGGGAGAGAAGCTATGCAAGTAGCAGGGGTTGATGAACCTGAAGTAGCGTGGTCCATCTTCTTCAATTTTTTTGATCTTCTATCTGCAAATTCGATCAAGAATTTATGCTAATTAGGATTTTGTAACTTAAAAGCGGATTTGCGTAGCGGAAAAAACCGGCATGCAGTACGTACGTACCTCCACGGTGGCTGCGGCGGAGACGCGGCCGGACAGCGGCAACGGACTTAATTAGATCTCGAACCCTAGATAGTACTTATTCTTATGATGTTTATATATATTAGGATTCTATATTCATGACACACTAAAATTTATTCTCCATCTCATTATATTATTTGAAATATTATTATTTATTATTCATATCCTAACTATGCAATTGTTATGCCATGGACCGGGTCCACCTAGGTGGACCCAGGTCCAAAACACACGTCTGGAATATAATAATGGTGCCCTTAGTGGCACAGCAAATTATGCTGTGCAACCGTGTGCACCATTGGATTCATAATTTTTATATTATAGATTCATAATTTCTATATTATAAATGCATAATTATTGAACTCTATATTTACAATTATATAACTCTATGTTCATAATTTTCAATGTTCATATTCTCAATTGTTGAACTCTGTATTCACAAATCATTGAACTATATGCTCATATGATAATTATACAGTTTAAAAATTATGAATCCATAGTATAGAAATTATGAATTTATAGTATAGCAATTATGAATCTACAATTTAGAAATTATGAATCTACAGTATAAAAATTATGAATTTATAGTATAGAAATTATATATAGATCCAATTCCGTGTGCACCTTGCATGGTGCACACGGTTGCATAGCATAACGCTCCTAGTGGCACCATTTCCTCAGCCAATGATATATATATATATATATATATATATATATATATATATATATATATATATATATATATATATATATATATATATATATTGTGTGAATATGTAGTTCAAAATTTGTAAATATAGATTCAAAAATTGTGTTATACTGTTGACATAATTTGTGAATATATAGTTCAAAATTGTGAATATAGATTTCTGCAATTATGAATATGGAGTTTTGTATTTTTGTATATTGAGATCTAAAAGTGTGAATATTCAGTTCTAAAATTGTGAATATAGAGTTCTATAATTGTGAATATAGAGTAATTAAAAAATTGTGAATATAGAGTTCTGCATTTGTGAATATTGAGTTCTGTAATTTTGTATATTGAAATATAAAATTGTAAACGAATTCTAAACACAAACGGCAAGGAAGCAAACAATTTTTTAAAAAAGAAAATAAAAATTAAGACGACGTCGCCGTTTTAGACCCGGGTCTACAACATAATTTGCCCTAACTATGATTCTTTGCATCATATGCCGATCCGAACCCTAACCCAACGCTCCTAGGCCGACATCGGGGTCAGCCTTCTTGCCCTAGATTTGAGTTTCTTCGACCTAAAATTATTCAATCGGGTCCAATATATGCATTCATATATATATATATATATATATATATATATATATATATATATATATATATATATATATATATAGAATAAAGTTCAAATGCGGCGGAGTTTTCCCGTGTGGCCGTGTGGCGGAATTCCAGAATACACCAACAGTGTTAACAATATGCACCAACAGTGTAATAAAAACACACCCCAATGAAATGTAATAAAACATCACAAAATACACAACATACTCAAAAAAATACACCATATAACTCACCACCCCCAATGGTGTATTTCCGAACAGTGTATGGTGTTTTTACTCACACCTAATGGTGTGTGTTTGGTGATGCGGGGCTCTGTTTACTCTGTTTTGTGTGGTGTATTTTCCTAACGTTGATGGTGCATATTTGTTGAACTATTGGTGTTGCCGCACCGTAAGAAATCGCCGCACTGTAAGACACTGCCGCACCTGAACTCGCCTATATATATAT